AAGTGAAAACTGTGTCCATTGTGTGAAGTTGCAATACTTTAACAACTTATAATCTGTTTATTTTGACTGAAATGCTGGCCCAAAATTGTATGTTTATTAGAATGCACTTATGCAAATTGCATTACAGGGATTACTGTTATTCCACCCTACGGATGGCTGGCAGGGAAGCCACTGTCCTTTCCTTTTACTGAAGTTTGACGTGTACCTCCACCTACTCTCCGACGGGCGGTGCGTAGGGTGCCTACCCAAGCAGCAGACCAGGTTCTCAAGCTCTCATGTTCCTCAAAATCGTCCCACGGCAGAGCTCAAGCTCAAGAATGTCATGCTTCCAGTTCAGGTTGGTGTCTTCTATGGCTCGAATGTGGAATAATTCTTTCTCCTCCACAACAGGGTCGTCATCATCCGAGTATTGATCGGGGTTGACTGTGTAGAAGCGGATGCTTCTGCAGTAATCAGCGTAGTGGTTCTTTTTGTTGCACTCGTGGCATGTCTTGCCACAAGCAGGACATTCAAGCCTCTTGTGGAAAGTTCCGTAATTTCCACAAGGCTTTCTGGGCCGTGGCTGCTGTGGAGGCCTACTGCGTGCAGATTTCTGCCATTGATTTGGCTTGTTGGAGCGTTGAGCTTGTTTCTTCTTGAAAGTGTTGATGCTGGTACTTGTTTCTGCACTGGCACTGGAGGAGGTTGTCAACATTTTGGCGTGTTTACCTGAGAGCTCCATTGATTGTGCGAGTTCCTCTTTGCACTTGAGGTCGAGTTTGTCCTCTGGTTGAGCGCGCAGGAATATCTGGATCTGTTCATCCTGCTCACCACAAACAAGCCGGTCTCTCAGCATCTCATCAACATTGGAGCCATAGTTATAGTCACTGGCAAGTGCTCGCAGTGCTGCTAAATATTTGGCAATTGGTTCACCAGACAGTCGATATTGGCTGATTAAAAAGCGAGTGATGATGCCGGATTTTGTAGGCTTGAAATGTTTCTCTAGCCTATCCACTAGTTCTTGGTAAGTAGCCTCATTGGGTTTCTTAGGGCCAAGAAGATCGCTGATCAGCCATCAAGTAGGCCAGCCAAATGAAAAATACACAGAGCTCCAGAAAATAATTTCATGGCATTTTTTGGTAATAGCTGGCATCCATGCTACATGTAGATCCATTCTTTGAACCATAACAAACAAGATGTGGGGATGCCATCGAATTTTGACCCTAAATATATTCAATTTTTAAATACCTGTAGTGTAATACATTTCTCCCCCATATATGGGTGTATTTTTTATCTTTTTATTTTTTCTTTAATTTTATTGTGGTGATTCTACTTACTCATCCTTACTCCAATAACATTTTCTAAAGCATATAAAGTGACTGAGTAATTATGAGGACATTGTAATGATCCAAAATAGCTACTTTTATACCCAAAAGTTGCGCGCATTTACCTTGCCTCCAGATATCTTCAAGTAGTCCTGCCAAACCTCAGTATTGATGAGCTTCTCAAATTCACCAAGTTACTGGCACTGTGGCTCTATTAAAACCTTATGGAAAATCCTGTGAACAATGATAACTTTGTGATATTTAGCCCAGCAAACAAACACAGGTAAAATCGTTGGTGTCTGTTAATTGGCCTAATTAGTAAAAGGCTGCCTAATGTGGGAGACTTGAACAAGTTCAAGGAAATTCTCAAAATCATTGGAAAGAAAATTAATGGAAAGAAAACATTTTGACATTGACATAATTTTTGCAAGCAATTTTTTTTTTTTTTGGGGGGGGGGATTTCCTTGAACTTATTCAAGTCTCCCACGTAAGCCGACCCTTTCGCCTAATTTAAGCCCAGTTTACAGACAGCCAGCTCATTTCTCCCCATTTTGTTAGCTGAGTTAAATATCACAATGTTATAATTATTCACATGATTTTCCATAAGGTTAAAATGGGGCAACTGTGCCAGTAAGCAGCTTGGTGAATTTAAAGATCATCAATACTGAGGTTTGGCGAAACTACTTGATGATATCGATATCTAGAGACAAGGTTAATGCGCGCAATTTGTGGGTATAATAGTAGCATTTGTGCCTTATTTCTTTTAACAAGTGCCCTTTTTCCCTAAAAACTGCCCTTTTTCCCGAAAAAGTGCCCTTTTCCCGAAAAATTTCCCCGTTTTGTTCCATTGGCCGTTACTGGTGCCTTTTTTTGAATGCTGCAGATTAAAAGCACCATATATTGTGCATAATCGTAGGTTTTGAACAGCACCACCATCGACAGAGGCTAATCGCATACCACTACAACGTCCTTCATGAGCAGAACAGTCCTCCCCTCAATCATCCACCTTGGTAGATTCCAAAGCAAGAGATACTTCTGTAAATGCCCTGCAAATCTACCCTGTATACTGCTGAAATTCTTCAGCCGGTATCCATGAACATGATCAACTCCCGGGGCTTTCCAATTTGACACTTTCCTCAAACGCCTCTTGACTTCATCCAGAGTGATCTCTACCTCCTCCTGCCTAGGAATACAGTTCTTCTCTCACTTCTTGCAGCCACTCTGCCTGGTTGTTGTGCTGCACTGGCTTGTTCAAAGTGCCACCCCAGAAAGTCTTTGCCTCAGCTGCCCTTGGGACTTCCTGAGAATCGTCATCCTTACCATCCAGTTCCCTGAATATCTGTCTCTGGTTTGACCTAAACAGACTATTCTGACGAAACTGCCGAATCATGTCATCGTATCTCTTCATCTTTGTCGCCTTTGCCGTAATCTGCTGTAATCCTCGTAATCTGATTTCCTCCTTGACGACTGTTATACTCTTAACCCGCACCCGTTTTTTTTAGCCATTAGTCTATCCCTCATGTCAGACTTCCTCAAAGCGTCTCTGTCCAACTGCTCAATTCTACTCAGATCCCTTTGGAGGTCCTTGATCTGTCCCTCGAGCTGACGCTTCCACCAAGGTGTCACTTCCCTGTTGCCTTTGACAGCTCGCTTGAATCCCACTTCTTCCTTCACAACGATTGCACCTGCATAAACGAGACTGTTAAGCTCAGGTATATTACTCGTCCTGGCAACACGACACAGTGCAGGGATGCTTTCTTTAGCTGTTCGTGACATTATCTCTTCAATTCTCATCAGCATTCTTTCCTCCTCTTTTGTTAAGTCTGTATCATGATCCGCTCCTCTTGGCACCCCCTCATCCGATCGACCTCCGCCCTCGTGTGCAGCAGCCACATCCCTGATGCCAGCTTCCAAACTACCACCTGTACCCCGGAGACTATCCATCCCATCATTTCTTGGACCATTACTACCAGATCCAACCTCATCAATTGAAATATTGGCCCCATCCTCAACACTTCCTCGGAAATTCCCAACCTGAGCAATCTCCCTCTTGATTTCCTAAATTTCCACAGCGGTCAACCACTGATTCTTCCTAATATTCCTGACCTGATCTGCTGGACGTTGTTCACTAATTTCTAGAATACCCCTTACTAAAAAAAGCCCTATATTCTGTTGCAAACAGACATAGACCTCTCCTTTACTTACTATTTTTCTAAATTTTCCACATGCTACATGTATGCTATCTAAGAATTAAACTGAAGATTGGAGGGAGAGAGAGATACAAATCTGTCACACAATATTTTCATCAAAATCATAGTAGAATAGCCCCTCCAGTCTGATCCCAGCCCTTCAAAAAAATGTTTTCTCTTGGAATATTTTGGGGCCCAGCAGTGTCATATAACCTTCAAAATGTATTGGCCTACATACCATTACCCCTAAATGTGTCTCAAATACTGTACCTGTTCCAAATTTTGAGACAGTTTCCAGAAAAGTTGTGTTTACTGAATACAAAATCTAAACTTTGTTTTCACTTGATATGCACCATGGAAGCTACTTAATGATTAACAACCACTGATCTCTATATAAAGACTGGATAGCATACAGACAGCCACAGGAGAAAGCCATTTGAAGCCATACTGGAAGAAAAACGGTTGGTGATCTAAAAAGGACAAGTTGCCGTCTTTATAGACAGTTATGATTCACTTTGTAACATCGTGGTTCACCTGATTTACGTGTCTCTCGTTTTATTGTTTTATGGGGACCTACGGTACTTCGCATACATGTATATATTTCTTTCTGATGTCTTTTTTTAACAATCTGTAATTGGAATTCATATCTTTGCTTGTCATATGTAATTTTCACTTTGTGTATGTTCAGTATCTTCTAATATTTACTTTAAAATAAATATATGTATTTTTTATTAAGTACATGTAACTAGTTTTGAATGTCCTGTAATTTGTATTGTTTTAATGTTTTAATCCAGGGCTCCCATGGAGAACAGTTCTTAGATAACTGATGGGGCTATCCTGGTAAAATACTTGTAAAATGATAAATAAAATAAATGTACCTTTTGTCCACCACCAGTGACCATGGTCACTTCACAACTATTCAATCATCTAGGTTTACTTTAAATGCCACAGTCTATTTTAGAACATCATAAAACGTGTTGATACAGTGCAAGCTAGGACCTATAAGCTGCCATTTTTGGAAGATCTGGGTGAACTGGTCTAAATGCAAATTGAACTGTGTGACTGGTGCATCTGGTATCCAGTCTTTATATAGAGATCAGTGTCAACAACCAGGGTAAATCAAAAGGTCAAAGGTGCATGACCAGTGACCTCAAGAATAACCCTGCAATCATTTTCAGACAAAATCTCTCCACAGTAAGCCCCAAAACTACTGGATAACTAGAATTCTAGAGGTACAAAATTTGAATTGTCCTGGTTATTTACACTACTTCAATAATAAATATCAAGCAAACAAAATTAAATAAATAAAACCCAACAAAATGAAACAAATTAAAATTGAAAAGGTCTGGATTTCTAATTCTCGAAACACAATCTTTCTTAAAATGTAGCTGTGTGGCTCAAAGTATGGAAGAGTCCAGTATTTGAGACAAATATATTGGGCAACCTGTTTCAATGATTACAAGATGCTTCCCACCTACATGCAATCGTCAATATTATTTATACTTACGGGATTGCTGATAACAGACAGCTCGATGAGGTTTGGCAGTGCTTCAAGCTTTTCCAGCTCACAGACATCCTGCAAGGATATACATAGTTATTTTTTTTTCATGATGCAGAACAAAGATTGTTAAAGAGTTTCTGTCACTGCTATTTTTAACTTTCACTCTCAAAAGTGATGGCAATTTTAAATAGTAAATTAGGTTTGAATGAAATCTCAACCAAAAGGAAAACTGGCCTGTATTTAGTGACAAAATAATAATTGTGATAATGTGAAACAGGTCTACTGCAGGATAGGTTTGTTGCAAAAGTAATTCAACTGACATAGTTTTAAAAGAGTTGTAGATGCCAAATAAAGACAAAAAAGTGCCTTTCTTTGGTTAAAATACAACACTCAAGGAATGCAGTTTGTTAAGAGAAACAAAAAAACTTGACTTGCTGCAGGGTACACGGGCCCATCACTATTCAACAAAAGCCTTAAGTGTAACAATTATCTAGAAGGGAATTTTATGTTTTTGTGGTGTGCCCCCAAGCTGGTACTGTGGCCCCTTAATGCCCCTGGAGCTGGCGATGGTGCCGAGGGCACATACAGTACAGCTTTAGTTCCTTTTATTTTAATTTAAAAGTTTTGAATATCTCAACTAGGTGTACAGAATTTCTTTTCCTTCATGAGTCATATCAGAATAAAAACCCATTACCATCGGCTTAGATTTTTTTTTGCTCAACATTTTTGTGATCCCTACTCTTACACTATAAACCAAAATCAAACTTTTGATGTTGTAAATGTTTTGAAACATAAACACACTGATTTTTTTTAGGGCACTGAGTTATCAACTAGATCCAGAGTCAACTCTATGTCTGTCACATATCCCGTTAAAAAGATGGTAAGGTACAGCAGCTCAAAATGAGTGCTGGTCAGCTCACCCACTGACAAACTCCCCACTTTTCTACTCGCCCTGGCCAATTTGCCCTTTAACAAATCATCCAGCTTACTTGCCAGCTAGCAAACCTTCACATCGCAAAGTCTCCTGGTATCATTTGGCTACTTTTTAATACAGGCATGATATTTGACCCTTGAAAAAATATACATCTGAGGCCGCTTAGGTCCCCAGCAGAATCCAGGAAAGCAAAGCCCCTTGCCCATGCATTAGACTTAGATGATAGTGGACAGCAGGGAAAGACTGCTGGCACTGGGGCAATAGCCAGGAGATCTCATGAAAGATTAGCAACCCTAGGATCTGCTTTAACTACCACTACAACTCATGTAAAAGGGTTCATGCAAGAGTGGGGGTGCAAGATGGAACTTAATGGACAGATTTTACAGAAACAACCTCTGGACCGAACTTCAAGACAGAGGAGTTGTTCAGCAGATTCAAGCAGTGGTGCTACCGGTTCAATATGTTGGAAGTCAGGCTTCAAGAATGTCACTAGACCAAGTAAGATCCAATTGTGCAAAAAGCTCATCGCAGTTAATCCCAAACGGGGGGGGGGGGGGGGGGGGGGGGGGGGGGGGGGGGGGGGGCATCCTAGCCAGTCTACGCAACCTATCAAGCAGGTTGTAGGCCAGGATAAAAACCACAGTGCCTCTTCCCAGACAGGCAAGAGCTTCCATCATGAGAAGGAAAGCAGAAGTGAAGCCCATTCTAAGTGTAGTAATATTGCCAAACAGACAAACCTACCAAAGGCATCTGACAAAACATTTTGGAAATAGTCTGTGGGCTATGGGGGGTCCCATTCCCCCCCCCCCCCCCCCGAAACCACCACCACCAATATTTTTGTATCCTTGGCATGTCTCCAATAGGAAAAAAAATTGAACAGTGAAAATTTAGGGATGCTCTCTCTCAGGAGCCCACTTATATTGTAACTGCCTCTGATTGAGCTTGGATGCATTTTCTTAGCACTAGGGTTGGAAGGGTAAGAAACAAAACGCCATAAACTGAGCAGACTTGACCGATCTTAATCAAACTTAGCACAAATAATCTTTATAGTAGCTCTTTCAAATATATCTTTGGTTGTCATGGAAACCAACTGTAGAGGGCACTACAGTCAAACAAAATATATACACTAATTTATTTTGAAAATTATCCGAAAATTTCTTCATCTTTAGTCATTGCAGTTGACTGTTCATGTTAAAAGCCACCAAATCCTAAAAAAAAAAAAAAAAAAAAAAAAAAAAGGTTTATCCAACTACTGTTGAACTAATTTGAGAGTAAGGTCTTGGCAAATTGAAAATTTAATAACATTTGAATGAGTTAAACACCGTCCTGCTGAATCCAGGCTCTGGTATTTTTTGCGTTTGGTTGGGAGGTGGTAAGTCAACTTCCAGATACAACAACGTACTTTTTCCAATCTTGGTAAAACTTGACATGGTATATGTTCATATATATATAAAATGTCATGGAAACCGACTATAGAGGGCGCTATACCCGGATGAATATAATTATATATATTCTTTTTTCAATAAGTAGAGATTAAATGATATTGCAGTCTTAGTGGCAGTTAAATCGAAGAAAAATACTAAATAGAAACGTGGATGCGGTCCACTCTCACCTATTGGATCCATTCTTGTGGCCACATTTGGCTAAAATAATGAAATTACTTAATTTATTGAGGATTTTGTTATCAAGTACTTATAGTTATACAATGTAGTGTTACTAATCTAAACACATAGATGGGGATTAGCACAGGGATAACAATATGACAGGTATAATCAACATAAACACATGTAACTATCAAATAATTATTGTCCCACTAAGGTGAGCAACTGTTTACATTTATCTCCTGATGGAGACTACTAAGAGAGAGTGGTGTTCCAAAACAGACGAGCAAACACCGTGGATCAATTGTACATGTACATTTGCATGGTTACACTTTTTTAAACAATGTGGTTCATTTTTTTTCCTTCTTCAAAAGAATAAGGTTAATGCTGCTCAGAGAGAAACTAAATCTCTTTTTTAGTTTGTGAGGGTCAGAAAAGAACCAGGAGGAACTCAAGGTTTGGGACAGTATGCTCTACTATTCGTCAGGAGACAGAGGGATTCCAACACCCAAAAATTTGTTATGTAGGATGACGGAAGCAGTAGATGCTACATGTAGCTGAGCATTGGGGTGTCGGAGTGGTGGAAGAAAGTTGTGAAAAAGGTTGTCAAGGGTATATGAGACCCATAGACTGACTAAGGTGTGGGAACTAAGCTTTACGTACGTGTATGTGACCCATTCGATAATCTGGAGAGGATGGGGTACCAGGGTTGGGTACTTCGTTAGAAGACAGAGGGATTCCAACACCCAAAGAGCTGTTATGTAGGATGACTTTGGCAGAGGATGCTACATGAAGCTGACCAGTGGGATGTCGGTGTAGCGGAAGGAAGTCCTGAAGTAGGTTGTCAAGGGCATAGGAGACCCATACAAGGCATGGGAACTAAGCTTTGCCTTGCGTACACATGTACATGTAGGTGACAATTGTAGGCCTACTGTGTGGAGGAGGATAAGGTGCCAGATGTCACTGATGGACATACCAATATCTTGGGGTATTATTTTCTGGAATAGACCCAGTGGTTGTCCTCGCTTTACCTGGATGTATAGCAGGTAGCTCATACTGTTCACTATCTCCAGGCAACTGTTGGTCTCTTGCAGCCGATTGGGAAGGTTGGAGATCACACGACTTTTTGATGGTCTTAGAAGTAGAACTGGGGAGATCACTACCAGCCTCGTCGATGTACACTTTGTTACATTGGCATGAAATTCTGAAGACTCTTAGTCTGAACGTTTGGTCTTGCTGGTTCTTGTGAGATTGCCGCAGTTTGTGGATTTTCAGGGGTTCTGTATGAAAACTTGGATGCCATGCTTGTACAGGATGCGTCTAATGTATTGGAAATACAACTCTAATTCTCTCGAAGGGGGTGATGGAACTGTATAGTTGTCTTAAACAATGGGCCTTTTATTTATAGGAGAACCTTTGGCAGTAGAGGAGGCGTATATTAATCTTACCCATGCTGCCAGATGGTGAAGGTGTCATCACTTGATGATGAAGAAGCCAAACATGTTGTCTGTGTTCTGCCGTGGTTATGGTCGTCTGCTCAAATTTTTCTGGTACTATATCGGCCAGAACTAATGATATACATGTAGGACATCACATGGAGCTAGATTATTCAAGACACAGGGTAAGCTGAATACAATATGGGGTGTCAGTGGAGTCCTTGTGTGTGGGGTCAAGTTAAAGCCTCTCTTTGATGATGCCACAGGTCAGTTGGCGCTGAGTGTATTGGTAAAGAGAGAAATGACTCGATAGCTGATTACTATGACGTAGTTTGGCTTGAGGGTGAGGTCTGAGGTGAAGATGGCAAACTCTAAGAATTCCTGATTTGGTGTTTGGTGTTGCTAATTAGGGGATGAAGCATTTATGTGAGGTGTCTGGCTGTCTTGTACGTGTGTTCCCCCTATGAGGCCATGATGGGGCGCAGTGGAACATCCGGCTCGTTCATCATCGGTTGTCTGAAGAAGATTGGGCATTTTGAGGTGTGGGTGGGAGCTGCCTGTACTGGAAGATGTTACCAGACCCCTGGAGGATGAAGAATTTGCCTTGGAGTCTCTTTTGATGGATGATGTGAGGTCCTTGCAAAGGGGATAGTGGGAACCCAAGTCAAGGATAGCGCACTCCCTGCAGTTTAAGTCTGCGGTGCTGCCCTTATCAGCTTACAGGATGTGATTGGACTTGTTTTGACAAAGGGAGGTGATGACTGCACATGCTTGTTCATAGATTTTGGGATTGCCTGGCTTGTGTTTCCGGAGGGCTCTGTGGATCTGCAGGTGGACCTCGTATGGACTTGTAAAGATGATAGAGGCTGTGCTTGATGCACTGGATTATGTCTTTGACTGCGATGATTCGAGAAATGGGGCAAAGTTAACCTACTAGAACCTTAATCTCGTTAGGAGACAAGAATATGTGACTTTGCTGTCTTGGGAGTGGAAATTGGGGCTTAGGTGGTATGGGTATGAGGATAAAATGATCCTGTAGTCAGGCACTCAGGTTGTGAGTAGGGGATCAGGCCCCATTGCCCATGCATCTTGAGTAAATTGTGT